GTTCAGAGGAGGGTTACTAGAATGGTGCCTGGGATGGAGGGGTTGTCAAAAGAGGAGAGGTTTATATTTCTGAAATTGTTTTCTCTTGAAGAACAAGAGTTACAGAGGATCTGATTGAGGTGTCTAAGATTGTAAAGGGAATTGATAGTGTTGATGCATCATCTTTTTTCATATTTAATGGTGAGAATGATAGGATGAGGGGAAACAAATATAAATTTTGGCAAGGTTGGAGTCATATTCAGCTAATACAGTTTTACTTTTCTAACAGGGTGGTTGGCCTGTGGAATGGGTTGCCTTTGGATGTTGTGTAGGCAGTAAATTTAAGTGAGTTTTAAGAGAAACTTGATAACTATATCATTGATAATGGCTGGCTTTGAGTAGTTTTTTTTATTTATTTATTTAATAGTTTTAGTTTAGTTTAGAGGATGGGATAGCCAAGATGGGCCAATAGATCCCTAGTTCTCCCCAAATATTATGTTAAGAAATATCTTTGAGAAACTTATGAAATTTGATGGTGTTGCTATAAAGTTTAAATGACCTGACATATTCATATGTTATCATGAGCAATCTTGGTTAGATAATTGCCCTTTGGAATTAAAAACCACCTTATTATACAAGATATGTAGATGACACTTATTATATTTTTTAGTCAAAACCAACTTGGTTTCTCTTTTTTTTGACTACCTCAACAAACAACATCCAAATATATAATTTTCTGTTGAAACTGAAAATGAATGTACCTTTCTTGGAAATCCTTGACAGATTTAGAAGTAGGATTTTAAATTACAACTTTTTTTTTCTCACTAATTGTTTGTTTCTTTTTTTCAACAAGAACTCTTCAACATCAGAAAAATTCTTCAAAAAAACAATTATTTTGTTCATTTCTTTAATGACAGTATTCGAAAGACTGAATAAATTCTCCAAAAGAACAATTCCTAGGACTTTTTAAACTGTAAATAGACTGACAATACCCCATGTTATCATATAGTGACAGAATATTTTCCTTAAAGATCAGCCTATACAATGGGAAATGGATATCCACAGATTAATTTTCAAAAGTCCTTTCAGGTTTTGCAATCCTTTCTAATAGAAGGACAAGATTCCTAAACGTAAACTCCAAAGGTCAATGATTGTGTATATATACTTGTCCTCAGTGCTACAGTAGCTATATAAGGTCAATACTCTGATGCTTACAAAAATAATTAGGGAACATTCACTTTATACCCTATATGATAACTTGCAGGTCTTACTGGATACACAAGTGTGTGATGCTGAAATTCGGAAAGAACAATTCAAAGTTCATTTTTTTCAGCACTAAATAAACAGGACTGTGTATTAAAGGAACAATATAAATATTTTACAGTTTCTGGGTTGCTTGTTTGGACTTATTTACATTTCATATATAATAACATATATATACTTTAGAACTTCAAGTTGTGTTCCTTAGTAAATAAACAATTTTAGTTGTATTATGTGCATTTTCACTTCTATAGATATTATAATGTTTTTCATTTTTGGCATATTTTCATATTCACATCAATTAATAAACTTTGTTGTGTACCCTATGTCTTTATACACATGAACACAAATTTGTAGGAACAAGGACTAAATGTGTACAATGCTTTTTTGTTGTGAACTTTAAACTTGATGTCAGACTGTTTTGTTTGCATTCTGCCAATTCGACATCATCATTATGTTAGGTAGATATATAAATTACTTTGTTTCATTTCTTTTAATATCCTTTATTCGTTGTTTTAGTAAATCTTTCCTCTAACTTTTGAATGGCTGGGATACCAAAGGGCTTAAGAATTTTTTTTCCTTGTTTGTTTAATTTATTTTTTTTCATTTAATTTAATTGTTAGTCATATTTATCAATTTAATAATTATTTTTTCAATTTAATATTTTTTTCACATTTTGTTATGTATTTGAGTTAGTTTTTGTTTTGTTTATTTTATGTTCTTTTACTAACTTGGTTATTTAAATTTTCAATTTTTTTGGTTACGTTTTTTATCTTAAGGTTCATTTGCTCTTTCCACGCGATCAAATAGTGCCATAGATGTTGCTGCAGCTAAGCGAGCAAAAGCTCGAGCTGGTTCTTTTTCCTCAGCTTCTCACCTTACTAGAGGATCTGGGGCATCTCTTCGTAAGTTATCTATACTATAAGCGAGTATTCTTCATTTTCATAATTCAAACTATTGTTAAAACGTTTTAATGGATATTATATTTTACTAACAGTTGTTCCTATTTTTAGAACTTCAGTTTTAATTTGTTTTAGTGTCTATGATTTTGATTTAGTAGTTTACAGTGCCGTCACCTAAGTCTTATGGATATTTTGTTTGCATAATTAAACCATAAGTCAAGTAATAATAGGTTATCTTTGTTTGCCATACTCTTTCAAATTTAAGCTAACTCTGTTTATTTTACTTTTAACAGCAAGAGCTGGTACAAGAAGGGCTGAAGTTGCTGCCCTTGGAGTTAAATCTCCTGAAAGAACAAGCCGTAATCAATCCAAGACAACCTCTCACTCCCAGCGTAAGTGATACAGAAATAGAAACATGCATATATGTATATATATGTTTGTGTGTGTGTGTATATATATATAGTTATAGGTTAAGTTCCATCTAAACCTGCATTCATGTGTGGCCATGTAGTAAACTTGCAGGTGTCACAAACCATGCTGCTCACAACTTACTCTTTATAGTCTAAATACATGCTTTTTGTGTCAGTTGTCAACAGTTTAGATTGTAATTAGCAATATCTTGAGTTAGGTAAGTAAAGTAGGTAGTACTGCACTGATCAGTTAGTGCTTTTGATACAAAATTGTAAACCTCCCAGTGGCACAGCAGTATGTCTGTGGACTTACAATGCTAGAAACCGGGTTTCAATACCTGTGAGGAGAAGAGCACAGATAGCCCATGGTGTAGCTTTGTATTTAACTACAAACAAATACAAGGTGTAAAAATTGTAGATATATTATTTTTTGCTTAGAAGTATTACAACATTCTCACCACTTTACAATTTTAGTGTAGTGTAATACAAAGATGGGAATATATCTTCTTTTCAGTGTATTGAGTTAGTTCCTTGTAAGAAAACTCATAAAGGGTAAGCTTTCCCAATGACAGAACAGTTAGTGCTTAGTGTAGTTTCTGGTGCAAACATTTCAAAGAAAACTTAGAGGGAACATTGGATGTAAGTGACAATAAAGTAATTTTTTTTAAACTTAAATTTATTCTAAAGTCATCATCTGGTTCACACTTCTTAAGTGTTGAAACTGCTTTGACTGTTAGCTTCTAGTGAGACATGTAATATTTAGTCTTAGACTTTTGGTAATTAATTATAAAGCTGACACTATTTATTCAATAAATGAAGGATTACAATGTTACATCATTTGTAGTGACTGCTATTATTATGTTTATTTGGTGTACAACAATTAACACACACCCCTATCTATCTATCTATCTATATATATATATATATGCCTGTGTGTGTGTGTGTGTTTGTATTATGACTGTTTTAATATGTGAGTTGATAATATACAAGGTTGTGAGTAAGACAAGCATGGTTAAAAATCATAAACATTTTATTTCAACATGCTGCAAGTTTCTGCCATGCTTATTTATGAGTCTCTTGAAATTAGGGGAAATAAAAAAAAATAAGTTACATTTGGTTTTGTGCTATTACTATGATTTATTAAATAACTAATTATTAAGCAAAGCTTTTAAAATATTTTATTTTGACTATAGCCAATAGCAGATCAGGCTCTCCATCTTCTCGACTCAGCTATGCAACTTACCAAGATAGTAACACGCTAGGAAGAGTACGAAGAAAGTCGGGAGCTCATACAGCATCAGGCTCAAGTAGAGAAGCTAGTCCTTCTCGCTCCTCTCGTGGTGGTGAGTGATCATAGTGAATGTTATCATTATGAATAATTTAAATTTCAATTAGCTGTTATTTAGAATTAATATTATACAATTAATGAAATGATAAATTGGTGCCTTGGGCAAATTGAGTATTACATTAATATAAGTTTGGGTTAAAGAACATATAATTTAGCTATTTGGAATGAATATGATATTTTGGTGAAATAGTAAATGTATAAGCTGGTGATCTGAGTAAGTTGGATATTATAATCATTTAAGTTGGGGATAAAGAGCATACTATAATCTTACCTGAACTTTCATTATGGGGTTGAGTTGATGTCACTGAAAATCATGCATGTGCAAAACATTTTTTGAGCAGCATAGTTATGGCACTATTTTGCCTCAAGCAACAATATTATTTTATCATACCTTCAGCCATTGTATCTTCTAGAAGCTAACATTTTTTGTTTTTCTGTTTCCAACTACATTGTTGCCTTATATGAATGCATAGGATCAAGCTACTAAAAATATATGAGCATTGTATTCCATGACTATATAATTATAAAACTGTGCTGCTGAGTTTTGTGTTAATAAGAATTTGCACTAACCTTCTTGTTACATAGCAAGACTTGGAAATGTGTCTTCCAAAGATGGTGCAAAATAGGAATACTAATACTTGAAACCCTTTGTATTTTATGGAAATAAACACAAAGTAAGTTTGTCTTTTCAATAAATTTGTAGTTTACTGTACTTGCAAAAATGTGGACAATTTTAATGGATTATTATACCCATGTGATTATGTTTGAGTAATGACCATTTGTCAAGAGGAAAGTTGGAAAATCAGGCATTATTACAAATTACTAATGATTAGCACTGAGTCTATAGACTTGGTTTGTTGATGGCACTTGCATAGTAGAGCAATTTAATTCTTGGAAATCTAACAAAGATACACAGGCAATGAATAGTGAAACTTGAAATATGAAGTTACATGTACCAGAGGAACAAAAAATTTTTGTGCGCACAAGAAGTTTGCTTCTCAGTGCATTGTATGTGTTCAGGAAGCTGTTTTAGTCTCACTTAACTGTACACGAATTAAATATTTGCAGTTGTAGATCCAGATAATACAGATATAAACAACTGTGAAAAGTTTAATAACACTTGTGTTAATTCATTGTTGTGTCACCATAGTTACAAACTCTTGTACCATTTTTGGCACGATTAGTGTAAGCGTTTTATTCATACTGAATTCTCAACATTCAGTAGTGCAATTTTCCTGGAAATAGCCTTATGGTTAGAGGTATATATCATAGGGCTTTCAGAGGATGAATATTCCTATACCAGAATTGTTAATATTCTAAAGCCAGAGAAGCCAACATTTCAAAGAGGGTAGCCTTCAAACTTCTTCATAGAAATGGAAGAACTCTTACAGCAGAGTGTTTAGGACACCAGTAATCTTTAAAACCACACACCAAGTCAAAGTGAAGGCCATGATTGCAGAAGAAAACAAAAACTTTGACCCCAAAAATAGTCATATGATGAAGCTGGGATTCTCTCTTGATACTATTAACAAGATAATAAAACATAAATTTGTATTAATCGAGGTTTACAATGTAAAAGTTCACAAGCTGTCAGCCACACCTTGAAAACAACAGCTCTTTTTTTTTTTCATAGAGAGATGGCTGAAGAACCTGGAATTATAAAAATCCCTTTTGACTCGCACGGAAGTCTGTTAATGCAACTAAAATTTCTTTTGTATCTTTGTTTTGTGTATACATGGAGTGTGAGAAGTTTGTTATGAAGTGTGTTTTAAGATTGACCCTGTCATCTTTTAAAGAAACTTCTTACACTAAAAATTGTAATGATGGGCAGTAGTGTCTAACCCATGGCCTTCAAATTATACATGATGAAGACAACACAGTACTGAACATCATGCTTATAAAGCAGGATTAACTGAAATCATTTGATAGCACACTTGTGTTCAGTGGTGTGCCCTCTCCTCCCCATATCAAATAGGCCATTTGGTACAACTTGGCTGCCAAAGCATCATTTTGGAAAATTTGGACCTTCAAAGTTTTAAAAAAATGCACAAAGAACCAAGGAATGAATTTTTAATTTTATTGAATGGTGTAGCTTAGGTTTACTTGGTTTTCTGAATGCAAAACTATTTCTCAGTAACAAAAACTTCACATTCCCTTGTTACGTATTGTGCTTTACCAAGTGCAAAACTATTTGGTAACAAGAATTTCACATTGCGTTATTATTTATCATTTCATTGTTTTCTTTTAACTCATAGCTGAAATTTTGTCAAACGGCTTTCTTATTATTTGTACTTGAAAGGAATTGAGAAGCAAGCTTTAAGTTTTACCAGTGAGTAAGGAGTTAATTTTAATTAAATGAAAAACCATTCAGTAAAAACAAGCTATAGATTACCTTATCATTTCATTTTGAACAATTTTGTTATTTAACTTGTAACACTGATTATACCAAATAACTTTTCAGTGCAACAATCAAGATAAAGCTTTAAATGTTACCTAACTGTAGAGTTTGGTTTACTGAATTGAATGGAAACGTAATGCAGAAAGAAACTTCACAGTTATTTATCATGTTACAATCTGTGTTTCCTAGCCTTTCTCAATCTTTTATTTATCTTCTGTTCATTTACCAATGAGATGTCAGAGAATTAGCATAGAAGCCTGTTACGTCTCATGAATTTTACAGTCATTAGCAGAGAGAGAAAGAATCTTCGGTTAGATGAAACTAGTGAAAACAAGACAATATTACTTGACTATGATCTGACCAAAATGATGCAACAAGACTCAACAATTGGAGAATGAAAGTCTGTGCTTTGGCTAGTGCTAAATTCCTCTATCATGTAAATAAATAAATTAGAATAAGACCTTTAGTTGGCTATGATAGACAACAGACTGAATTACTTTTTAAAACTTGTGAACATCACTGCTGTTATTGACCCAAGTGATATTTTAAATAGTTGGGTGCAAGCAAACAAGAGATGTAAAGTTTTCTATGTCATATAGATGGTTTTATTGCTAAGTTTCATGACTTTGCATGAAACATGGATTTCAAGATTGATTCTCACACATTCTGATGGAGTAAAAGCTAAAAAGAAAGGCTGCAAACATATTTCAGCAAATATTGAAAATCATGAGACTTGGATATTTATTTGGGTGTGCATACATCACAGTTTGTAGATTTACTTTTTGTGATTGTGGTTCTCATTGTATTTTATTGCATGCTTCAGTTTTATTTGTCTATGCAAAAGATTGAGAGTGATGACTGCAATTTTTTAAAACTTTTCTCATTGTCTTTCAGTTCATAGAATCTATGCACACTCACACACCCAATCATAAAGTTGTTGTGATGCCACTGCTTGTGTTTTATGTCACTTTGTTTTTGTTACAGTAGTGTTGCATTTTATGAATTTGATGTTAATTTTTTTAATATAACGTTTTCACTATGGGCATCATCTGAGGTTTTAGTGAGTTACAAGCAAAAGTTAATTTCTTATCATGGTATACAAATAAATTTGCCATGAAAACTTAGCTAATAATCCAAATTTTAATATTGTATAAGTTTTAAGTTCTTAATTTTATAAGGCAATATTTTTTTTTAAATCCTGAATTTCTTCTAGCATGAGAATTGTGACATTTGCTCTCTAGGTATCCCCTCTTCTTTAATTTATTTACCACCCTTCCAAGAAGTATGAAATTTAATGTGAAGTACTCATTATAATATTGTCATTGCTCAGGCAAAGCATAGTATTTATAGCCTTTAATATTATTTGGTTACAGAGCTATAAACTAGAAAATCAGACCCCTCTTTCCACACCCACCTGTCACATCCTATTTTTCAGAAATTGCTGATAGCTCACTCTGACATTTAATACTATATTATTGATAACCAATAAAAAGCCAAAGTTTCAATCTGTCAAATTCTGTATTATATTGTTTTGTATACAGAGAATTGCAATTATCGCTTTCATATCAAGTTTTATTTCCAAGGGAACACATCGACTAGCTTAGCTGAATTTTAATGGCTCTTATTGCATAGTTAGAAAGCCAAAAAATTGTGATAGTTATGGGACATTGTCTGTTTTTTGCATGTTATTATTCAGTGTTTTTTGATGCACTATTTAATTAAATAAAGAATTATTTAGTACAGTAGTATCATTTGTGTAGGGAAGCACATTATGCCAGGAGACTTTTATGTATGTAAGACAACAATTTGTAAGCATAATAAAAAAATTTTAATATATACTACATGTTTTTACAGAGCATCTGTCATCTTCAGGTATGATACAAATCCAAAGAAAGAGGTTTATAAATCTTTGTTTGGTTTGTATCATACCTGAAAAAGACAGACCAGTGCTCTTTTGAAACATGTAATATGTATTGAAGTTCTTTTTATGCTTACAAATCATTGTGTCTTATATATACAAGTCAGTAGTACCATAATTATGTAAAAAAAGTAGGGTTAAGTGTCATTGACAGTCAACAGCCAAAAAAAAAGCCCCGGGTAAGTACCTTATTTTTTCATGTGCATTTTTTATTTATTATTATAAAAGTAATTAAAATGTAAAAATTAGAAACTTTTTAGGTAAAATAAATGATAATAATAATAATATAAAATGTTCATCAGGATGAGCATGAGCAGCTTGCAAGTAGCCTATGCATTACTTAATTTGATAGCATAACATGAACTACACATTTGCCAAGTGATTTACAACTTATATGGTATGAATATTGGTTACACATGGTTCCAAAGGTTATAAATCAATAAAATCTAAATATAAACAAATATATACTGTTACAAGCTTAAAGCTATTGCAGTTAAACAAATGTAGTTTCATGTTACAGTTTGAAGTCATTCTAGAAAGAAAGAAAGGGTAATTTAGATTTATTTCGAATTTGTGTTGTTGTTTTTTTTGTGTGTTTATGAGGTTGTGTATAGTTAGGTTAGAGAAAACAACAAATAAGATATAAAGTTTTACTGAAAAAATAGTTTGAAATTTATTTAGGAGGTTTCAGAGATTACACAAATGAAATTTGAGATTTTTCAGAAAAAGAAAAATATTTTCAATCTTAACATGAAAATTGCTTTGCACTTGGAGCAGTCAACACTTTGACTCCATGTATTCATGGAGAAATTTTTAGTGAAAATACTTCATTAAAAATTCTGATTTTTTGTCCACAAATGACTTAATAATTACTAAAAGCTTGTGAAAATTTGTGAAGATACACAAAACATATTAGAAGTTATAATATGGAAAATATGAAGGCCAATTTTGGGTCACGAACTTGGCTGAATCGACTGAGTCCACAGGAAGAGTTAATACTGATCAATTAATTTACATTTCTTGTGATTTTCATGTATTGCAGTACACGAGAGAAGGCTAAGTGGAGGTTCTAGAAGGACAGTGTTTGGAGCTGGTGGAAAACAGCATCCAACCACTATTACAAGTAAGTTAAATGAAAACCTCAAATAGTGTTAAGCATTTTTATTCTTACATAACTGTTGGTTCCTTACATTATTAGATGGTTATTAAGTAAATAATATCCCATTATTATTCTGTTTTCTATAGAAAAGCCAGACTTTTTTTGTTGTTATTGTTGGTGAGTAACAAAGTTTAATTGGAATGGGAGTAGTTGTGTTACACACACCTCAGTATATTTAACATATTGCTTACTTTGTATTACGCTTACATTGTTATATTCTTTTTACAAAACCAGTATCTAGCTATTTACTGAGCAATTTGAGTTTCATTTAATTTCTTACTTGTTATTTTATATGTTTATACATGTTAGGTTTTGTCAGTACTCTTAATGTCCTGCTACTTCAGCAGTAGCATGTGTTACAGTAATTTGTTTCAGGTGCCACACTTTCCTAAAGTTACACTGATGCAGCTGTTTAATAGGTTGCCATTGGTCACCTTGAGCTGTGTAATTAGTGATATTTGCTAATTGGTTAACTTTTTTTTATTACAGAGTTACATTCAGAATTTAATTGAACAACTGTATTATCAATGTATTTCAGTAAACTTGGCATGAAACATAGTATATTTATATCAGATTTTGTATAAACTTTAATGTCTTATTTTAAAAAGGAAATATTTAAATAAATCCTATTTTCACTTGTCTGAATTTCCAATTTTAATACCTGTATGGGATTCTGAGTTTTCTACTAATCACACATCTGTACTGTAGATATTGTTAAGCTACAATGTAAGCCTCCGAGCTTCTTGCTTTACTGAGATATAAACAAGAAAGTCAAAGTCACATGCTATGCTCCTCCTGTCTCATCAAAAAGTGTCAGTAATTCTCCCTGATATTTGCTGTTGAGTTGTGTATCACCAGTAGAACAGATTATGGTTTACAAGATTTATAACGAGACGAGTTTGTTTAGATACCAGATTAGAAAATATTTAGCCCCAGTTTCATTGGTTGCATTTGTGGTGTAGCTCCCAATAAATGGAATTTTTTAGCCTATTTGTAGCTTAATTAGAAAGCCAGTTAAATTATAGTAGTTTGAGCAAATTCTTTTTGTATATGTGTGTGTGTGTGTGTGTATAATAATGTTTTATGTTCATATTGCATACTTGAAATAAAAACTAGCAATATTTTGGACCACTAACATTGTTACAAAAAGGTAAGCTACAGTACTTCATTTTTGACAAATGTAAATGCTAAATTTCTTCTTTTTTAATGTATATTTCTTATTATTATAAGAGTAACTAAAATGTAAAGAAAAAGAAACTTAGATTATATAAGGAAACTTAAATGAAAACATTTCCTGGGATATTCTATTTCCTAACATATGCACATTGAATTGCATGATTGTAATTCAATCGTGATGTATTTGTAGCTTGATTGCTTGTTTACTCAAGACTGTCTGAGTAAACAGCATACTCTGAGAGGGTCTAAGTACAGCTGTAAAGCTAAATTAAATGAACCCAGATTCGAAAAGTATTTGCTTTGGCTTTAAGAATAAATAATGTGTACTTGTCTTTCACAATATGCAGTCATTCTAGAATAAAAAAAAATTGTAGTTTTGATTTATTTCATATTTTTCATCTTTTTTTATACTACCATACATTGTTGATTTCTCTACAATTAGTGTTAGGGTAGGAAAAAGAAAAGGTACAGTTTTCCAATAATTGTGGAGTGTAAAAGCAAAAACAAAGTTTCTGTTGGATGCTGCCAGATAGTTGTCTTCATTCATTCAAAAAGAAAGAGAGAGAAAACAAGTTGGTAGCAGGTGCTGCCACACAGTTGCTTTTCCTCTAGTCAGCAGTTTAAACAAAAGAAAAAAAGCTGAACAAACTTGAATTAAAAAAAACAACAGCAACTTGTTAGGCTAAAACTGGGCAGAGCATAGATAACCCATTATATAGCTTCATTCTTAATAACAAACAAATGTAAAACTGGGTTGGTGCAAAGCTACAATGTCATTCACACAGGATTAACAGATAAAGTTTAGAACCATAGCGATTAAGAAATCTTTGACCATGGTGATTAAGGAATCTTTGTATTAGTATTTTACCTTGTTTAATATTTGTAGTGATGTTAGATTTTTCAGAGAAGATTAAATCTATGACATTACTTGAAGCTAACAGCCGTTCTAACAAAATTGAACTCTTAAGAAACCATGTACTGTAGACAAGTATTCATTAAGACTGTCCACTCTTTGTTTTTAGGTAAACAAAGTTTTATACTTTTTACCCACTGGTTAAACTACAAATTACAAATGATATTTAAATCACCTTTCAAGATTCAAAATCTATTAAGGCCTATTGATCTATTACCCACTCCTTTGCATTCATGGACTGTATTGATCTATTACCCAGTCCTTTGTATTCATGGACTGTATACAAATATTCATTTGGTGACTGTAGTGCCTGTTACATTGTCAAAACGTTTGTGAAATTTGCAAACATAATGACAAAAAAAAATTTTAATCATCTCATGGATCATCAAATAATGAACTTTTGAATGAGGAGAGTTTGTTCTTTATAAATGAACTTTCATCTCTGAATAATTACACAACTTTTCTTCAGTTAAGTTTGTTCCAAATAACAACACAAAATATTGCCAAAAGTCATAAAACTGTAACATTTGTTGCACTTTGCCTATCCTAAAAAATTTTTTTTAACATTTCATTTTCTTACTGTGTATTTTAATTCCTCTTTATAAAGTTTAGAACCATATAGATTAAGAAATATTTGCTTAAAATATTGTACCTTGTTTAAATAGCTAGCTGAAGATGAAATGTATATTGTGAAACATTCAAATATGAAGTGTTGACGTCTCATAACTGTCAGATGTTACTGTCATACTTTTATTCATCACTAATTGATTTTCAGCAAAGAATATTTGATATATTATTATTAGCCAATACAGAATCATTTTAATTCATTGTGAAAGAGATTAAGCTCTAAAGGCACTTTTCAAATGTCAGTATTTCATGCCAACAAGATAATTCAAAACATTATATTTTCAGTCACGTTATTATGCCAGTGATAAGCATACACATTCTATACAATACACATTACAATTTCTTATGTGTATCTAAAAGGAAAAATCTTGAAAAGAATAATTGAATACATACTCATACATGTACAATATCTCTATCTTTAATTGTGCAATGTTTATTCAGTTTTCGTTTGGTGATGTTGTAACATATTCTATTGTTGGGTGGGTTGTTTGTTACAAATAGTGCCAAGTCCATTGCATGTAATTATCACAAATGTGTTTATTTCTTTTCTAATGTTCACTTAGGCCTACAACTTGTGTCAAAGTTCACAGTGTTGCAACAGAAATTCTGAGACTAATGGTTCTAACACTTAACTTACAAATACATAATTTACAGAATTCTTTTGTAATCAATTAATTAATTGAATAGATGTGATAACTGTCACTGAATAACTTTTCTAATACAGAATCATTTACTCATTACTTCTTAACTTCTCATTAACTTCTTTAACTGCTTTCTCATATTTTTAATGTATCCCCCTACTTTCACATACCATGTGAACCTTCTAGATTATTACATCATTATGATTACCAGCTCCCTGTAGCAAACAAAATTAAAACATTGCTTACAACAGTAACTTTAGAGAAGCTTGACATTTAAGATAAGTTACTGTGACACATTTTACTGTGTAGGTGTAGTCAAGTAGCAGGACAGAACCTTTAGCACAGCCAAAACTAATGTTTATGAATATACAAAGTAATAAAGAATGATGAATAAAAAATAGAATAAAGACCTGAATTGTATAATAAAAAACTAGAATATAGGTATTGTAATTAAAATATAACCATGTTAAATGTAATAAAAAGTAAAATAATGTACTAAACATATTGTGGGGTCTGTCTAACACAACTAATCTAGCTTTAAGTAACCCTGTCACTACAAAACGCATGGAGCGAGTAACATGAAGTTTAATCTTCCCAAAGCAAAAAAGAAAATGCAGATGGACAAATTTGATCTCAATTAGCTATTCCTTGTCAGTGTATATGTGGAGTTTCTTTTGCACAGTAGAATTATGGAACTGCAGTAGTTGAACATCAGAACGTTTTATTGTGCCTGACCATGTGCTTCCACCATGATGTTGTGATCAATAACTTGTGACCAAAGCAAGTTAGATATGTAGATAAGAAGCAAAAGATAATAACTTAGTAAATACATATACTCATCTGTCTAGGAATATCTAATATCATAAACCACAAGAAAAAACTTGTAATGATTATGGTGCATTGATTTATCTGTTGAATACCTTTTTTTTTATCAATGTTGTGTGTGTGTGGTATTTGTTAGCTGGCCAACATCCTTGTAACAACAATAATGTTGATTCTTTGCTCTGAAGCAGCAGCTAACTCTGTTGTGTCCTGGTTGGCCCTGTAATAAAACTCTGGATTTTGGAGCCAATGAGCCACATTTAAATCATTGCGCTACCACAATATATTCCTTGCACTTTATTTTGTGGGTGCATTATAAGAGTGGCAGCAGTCCCTTAGTGTAGGTGGTAGGGTGCTGCTGACTGACTGCTTTCCTTCTTGTCATTAGTTTAAAAATTGAGGACTGCAGCAGATAACCTTAGTAGCTTACCATAAGTACAACCTTAGCCACATTTAATGTCTTTGGTGCTATAAGTGGAACTTTTCAGCCATGGAATGGCAGGTCATAAATGCCAGTATGATACCTGTCTGGTCTTCATCCCATCTTGTTGCAGGTGCAGAGAAGATTGCATCACATTATCCTATTGAGATATAATCCTCCCTTTAATTTCTTTCAGCATGTGTATTAGTTAAATACTTGAATATATTATAGATTTTTTAACTGAAACTGATTCCTTCCATTTCTTTTAGCTAAAACTCCAGTCATGGCTGAACGGATGTTACAGCAAAGTAAAGAAGCAGAAGCTGCTATGGCTGATGTCTTAAAGACGGAAGGAGGCTATGAACCTTTCAGTGTATGTAATATGAACAGCACTTTATCATTCTATATGAATTATGTGTGGTACTCTTTTACTATTAACCAGAAAAAAAAAGTGATTAAGAAAGGAGGTGTTTATGAATGCTTTTAGTGAAGAAAATATCAGTTTTCTTACCCATTTTTGAGTCTAAAGTACACAGTGCATCATTTATTTTGGATTAGATGTGGTCTCTACATGACTGTAGAATGCATTATTTTATTATATCATAACTTAGAAATAGAAGATGCTATAAATATTTCATTTTAAATATGATGAAGTAAATTTTGTAATAAATATTAAAAACACGATAATACTGAAAAACATCTCTAATACAGATGTTTTGGAATTAATATCTAAAAAAATTAGTTCATAGTATTTGAACTACAAAAAAACAACATTAGCATTGAGCTAGTTTTCGTATTCAATCGGGAGTTTAGAAAGAATAGATTTAAATGGTAACATTATAATGGAATGTACAATAAAATGTGTGGCATACATGTTTTATAAATAACATTGTTCAGAGGAACTGTTATAGAGAAAGGCTTAAATATAAGTATAAATGCCGTATCTTTAAAATAATAATATGTATCAAATAAAATCACTGAGAATCCCAAAGTAATTACTTTAATGACAACAGGGAGGAGTTGATGTTATTATTTAGTGTTGGGTGATCATTGAAAATAGAGAGGCTTTCTCTAATAAAGAGTTCATAATCTGTGGTTCCGAGATCGATAATTTTAAAGTTTTCTAGGAGTATGGGGTGGTTGTTTTTCTCACTGTGAAATCGTATACAAGACTCATCAACATTTATAATTAAAGATATGTTTAAAACCAAAGACTGTTTCAACTGTTGGTGTATTATATGAGTGACAGTGAAGTCTAATATTCATTTATGAGTAATGCCAAATGGTTGCCTTCTTTCTGTTACACTTTTAAAAATTAGTGCTAATTATGGTTGAGCTACCGGGATTTCTGACCTGTCCATTTAACCTTTTATGAGCAAATGTTGTCATTCAAATGAACAAATAAACTAAAAATTGCTATTGTCATATTTGTTCATGATGTGAGGCTTCGGGGGAGGGGAAGGGGGTATTGACATAAAGCATACGCTCTAACTGACTGACAATTTAAAGTATATCTAGCAATAAACCTTGTGATATATTTGATCATTCAGTATGAATATCGAGTATTGTCCATATTATAATCATGAGAAGGTATTTTTATGAAATATGCTGTATAAATAGATTTTTTTAACCTCAGTAAATTCTGCAGAACTTTATACTGTGTGCTTATTTTTTTATTAAAAATTATTAGTGTGAAAATTTCAATTTTGTCAACATTTTTTCTAAATAAATTCCTTAAACATCACTTGACATCAGGGTCTTGAAATTTAATATACAATTATGTTGCTGTGATACACTTGCATTTGAATGTTGGCTTTGCTCATTCTTGAATATAACTTGTCAAACTTGGTATAATAACCAAATAGTGTCTTGTAGGTAAGTTAACACAAATTACAGCATGTTGAACAAAAAAAAACATTCAAAAAATGAATATTTCACTGCATCCTGATGCATCTTTTTTAATACTGGTGATATAGTAATGAGTTCTGTTTTTCGCTGTTTGTTTGTAACAATAGGATATCTTCTCTGTGAATTTATTAAAAGGCTTTGTCATAAATATTTACAGTTGAAACTGTAACCATAAGTCTCTCAGTAATGACTTTGATTTCATAAAATTATAATATTTTGTTTTGATTATAAAAATAAAACAAAATCTGAGAAATTTATATTTAACTATAGAAATGATGCACAGATTGCAAAATATGTAGGTTAAAATGGCAGCCTAAGTAGAAGTTATAGCTCAGTAAGCAAAAGTGAGATGCCCATATAAGTATTAAAATATAGAAATATATATGTTATTCAACTGTTTGTACATCTGATTGAATGAAGATATCTATAATAACTGCCATTTTATATCATTTGTGCAATGTCCAGGAAATACATCTAATATATTCATAATATATTCAACGTGATTTTTGTTTGTCAGTAATCTTGTTTTTTAAACTTTAAAGTAGTTTTTGTGACTTTTTTTGTAGCAGGATGAATGTTTTTTTATCTTGTAAGACTTTCATTCACATTGTATATTTTATTTTTTCAGCATTAGTCTATCAATTTTTAATGGCTCTTGAAATTTCACACCAATTTTTTATTATTATTGTTTTGATACCGCCACACAATGTTTTTTGTAACTTTCAGAAATTTCTGTGAATACAAGGATTGATTTTAAAACATGTAATTCAAGATTATTCAATATGTGATTGTCCAGAAGTATTGTTTTGACTTTTTTATGGTCAAGTTCATATCCAAATGTGTTTATTAGAGATTTTCACAAATATTGAGTTTTTGCAACTTTTAACATTTACTGGCTTCTTCATAATTTTCCAGATGTTTTTTTTCAAAACAATAAAAGTAATGTAGGTTTCAATAACTTTCTAGAGAACAACTCCAAGACATAGACACAACAACTTCCATGATGATCAGTCAGATGAAAGTGAGACATCTAGCATTTGTTCTGATCGGTCATTTAGTTCTTACAGTGGACATGTTGATGTAAGCATATTTAATAAGAAATTATTTTCTAATTCAACATAATTTCTGGTGTAATAAATAACTAAACAATGTTTTTGATTTGGACTTATGTTTATTAGAGGTTTTTTAAACACATTTTTATATGCATAAGAAAAATGAAAATCAAGAGACTTAATGAATCAGTTAATTTAGTTTTCATATACAAATTTGAAATATTAAAGGGTAGCTTAATGACCTGTGAAATGAAGAATTTGTTTGTTTTTTTGAAAAACAGACTTGAGTTCTAGAACAGCTTTATTAACCCTTTATAATCTCCACCTGTATATTTACGCATGCTAGACATAATCTCCATCCTTAGGTTTACACCAATTACGGTAATGGAAAAACCATTCCATGGATGATAAATGGTTAAGACAAATTTTGCAACATTGTTTGTTTTTTGCTTTATGTGAATTTACCCTTTTTTTTAATGTATAATTTTATGAAAATCTTAGAAATGTACATGATTATTATATACAGATTATAAATAAATAGGCATTATTTGGAGAGAAAAGTAAAGCAGAGAAGGGAGTTCTTTTGTCCAGTAAGCAGGTGGGGATAGTTTCCTATTTAAGAGGAGTTATCTTATTTGTTTGTATTGCTTCTTTTTTGTTTAGAATTGTTCTGATACAAAAGTTAAGAAAATAAAAAAGTAACGTGTTATTAACCTAATTATTCTGAATAGAATATTGTTTGAAACTTATATAATACATTTTAAATACGTATGAGAATTTTAGGAGCTTTAAATAATGATGTTTAAGAAATATTCATTTCATGATGATAAAATTACATCAAACCTGCTATTATGTTCAACTACTAAAGTTTTTTACGATGCTTTTAACTGTATCAGATAGCTTCATATGGCGATTTCTGTAAAGCTTTTTTTTTCATCTTTGGTGATTCATGTTTAAACTGCTGTGCCTCGGTATACCCACTTTTCTGATTGATAACTTATGCACTGATGGAACATGTGGGTCATGAGCAGTGTATCATCTAAGCTGTGAAGCTGCTCAACAACCAACCAAATGCCGTACACTTAATTTTTCCAGCCGCACACATCCTTAGTAATGGCGAGAAGTCTCAACGTGCTGAAGGCCTTAATGACCCTGGCAGTAAATTGGCTGAAAGCCCAAATAACCAACTGGTAGCATTGCAAAGTAGCCTAAAAAACTGATAGTACACATTTGCACATTGCTCTGATACTGTTGCACATTAAAAAATTATTTCCGCACATAGATAGAAAAAATTAGAGGAACATTGGTCATGAGTACGAAAACAACCATAGCTTGTTGATGCTTTTACAAACATGTCACAATATCTAGTGAACGAAATTCATCCTTATTGTAAAAAAGTCATAGGCAGCAATATAACATCACCTGTGGTATCTTTTTTTCATTTCAGTATATCAGTCTCAAACTTTTTCATTCTTGGTATTTTTATTATTATTATTACTACTATTTTGAATTGCTGACTAGAGGGAAGGCAGTTGTCTGGCACTACCTGTTGCCAACATTTTTTATATATACTTTTTCTTCTTGAACTGCTGACTATAGGGAAGCTGGCTGCCTTGCACCAGCTATTTCTGACTTTTTTTTTTTTGCTTGCTTATCTGTACGTAACATGATTTGTGGAACATTGCACTAAATGATTAAAGGGACAGTTGATTGATTAATTAGAAAATACCACTAGTTGTCCAGCTCTACTGATAACTCAAATTCTTATTGATTGAATATTATTAACTCTTTCCATAGGGCATCTATTTTTACACTTGTTAAAAGGGTTTTACTGAGTTGCATTCAAAATTTAATTAACTCTCTCAATATGGGCTCAGTCAATTTGACCGACCACATGACCTTTTTGTACTTGTTTAACTCTTTCAGCAACCTGGGACCAACCTTATAACCATTCTGTGCTTTTTATAGTTTTCATGCTATAAATTTAAAATTAGTAAGTGAATGTTAATGAAATTTGGCACATTATCAGTAAACATTATGATGCTTTCATACGCAAAATATCAAATTTGTTATTAAGTATTAATGTTTGTAAAGCTGGTAATGTAATTCGATAGCGTAACGTTAGCTCCACGTTCCCCAAGTGATTTACAACTTATAATGGCATGAATAGTAGTTAGACAGTTCAAAGGGTAATAAAACAATAAAATTTAATTACAAATTAATATTCCAAAAAGAGTTTAAAGCTACTTAGGATAAACGAATGTTGTTTCATGTTGCAAGTCATTCTTGGAAGAAAAAAGGGTAATTTAGATTTATTTCGATTTTTTTTTTTTTGGTTGTTAACCCTCTCTCCCCAGGTAGCCTTTACTGCACATGACACAAGGTATTAGAGTCTTACATTCAAAATCTTATTGAACTACTTTTTGTTTATATTATACCAATTAAAATCTTAGCTAATAATCCATAACTTAATAGTATGTAAGTTTTAAGTTCTTAATTCTACAAGGTAATATTAAAAAAATTCTGAATTTCCCCGAGTGTGACACATGTGACATATTTTATCTATTCGTCTTCTTTTCACTATTTTATCCACCCCCCACCTCCAAAAAAAAAGTACAAAATGTAACATAAATTACTCCCTATAAAATTTTCATTGCTAAAAAAAACAATTTTTATAACCTTCAATTTTGTTTGGTTACAGATCTATCAAGTAAAAAATCAGATCCCTCCTGCCACACCCACCTGTCACATCCTCTCTTTCAGAATTTGTTAATGGTTCTCTCTTACATTTAATTATATATTATCTATAACCAATAGAAAGCCAAGGTTTTCATCTATCAAATGACATATTATATTACATTGTGTTCTGAACAGACAATCATCAATTTCACTAAGAGTACAAGCTCCATCCCTGTAGGAAAGCTAACAACTAGCTTGAATGAATTTGTAACGGCTCTTGTTGCATAGTTAAAAACCAGAAAAATATTGAGAGTTAGAGGAATTGTCTGCTTTTTGCATGTTATTAGTATATGTTCTTTGGTGCATTATTTAATTAAATAAAAATTATGTAGTGCATTACTACCATTAGTATAAAAAAGTAGGTTTAAGTGTCATTGACAATCGACAGCAAGAAAAAAGAAGATTGGGTAAGTACTTTATTTCTTGTTTTTCATGTTTATTCTTTATTTATTATTATAAAAGCAACTAAAATGTAAAAATATGGATCTTTTTAGGTTAGTTAAGATTAAATTAGTTGAAATAATAATAAAAATGTTTCACTAGGCATGTACATGAGCAGTTCGTAGTAGCTCATGGGTAATATAATTCGTTAGCTTAACATGAGCTGCATGTTCCCTGAGTAATTTTCAACTTATAATGGTGTGGATAATAGTTAGACACAGTTCAAAGGGCAATAAAATGTAATTATAAATAGATGTATACTGTTAATAGTTTAAAGATACTTTGGATAAATTAATGTAGTTTCACACTACATTTGAAGTCATTCTAGAAAGAAAAAGAGGGTAATTTAGATTTATTTCTATTTTTTTGGGGAGGTGGAGGGGTTACAAGGTCAGTCAAATTGACCAACCATGTGTAAAGGTAGGGTAGAGAAAATAACAGATAAAAGTATAAAGTTTTACTGTAAACAAACATTTGAAATGAGTTTAGGAGGTTTTAGATATTACACAAATGCAATTTGAGATTTTAATCTTAACATTAAAATCACTTTGCACATGAACAATTCAGAACAAATACTCAATATATTCATGGACAAATTTGTATTGAAGCTTATTATAAATACTTCACTAGAAAATATGATTTTTTGTATGTGAAAGACTGCCAAATTTTGTGAAGATATACACACTATGTTGAAAGTTAGAAGTATTAAATCTATAAAGAGTTTAAAACAGTACAAAGAGGTCACATGGTTGGTCGAATTGACCGAGCCAGTACTGAGAGAGTTAACAAAACTATAAACCATGAAACACAAAACACTAAAACAGCTGAACAAACTCACATTTATTCACACATTTCACAATTACAACTTCCAGCAGCACTCACAAACAAATTGCAAATTTGTATTGGCGCATGAAATCATTATTTATAGTGTAGGTAACTTGTTTTATTGTGCTAGGTGATAGTACTCAGAACTGCACACTATAGAGAGATCCCTAGATGAGAATTCATTTCAAATTTAGCTGTCTCGGATTATTAATGCAAAAAATTACATTACCCAAAAATTTTGAGTATTTATGAATGTAAGTATTGGTTTGACATTATTATTCATTCTTATGTAGTTTATAAGTACTTTTTTCTTTAATATATTGACTAGGATGTTGCAGATATTATCCACAACCTTTCTTCTATTCACTGGTCAGACAGGAAGGAGGGGCTTCTTGGTTTATGTGCTCTTTTTCGTTCATCTCGTTTGCTTACATCCCTAGAACTACACCGAGTTGTAGAAATTTTTAGCAAGATGTTTATGGATCCACATACTAAGGTAGTATCACTATAACACTCACTGTATTTTAACAAGTATAAATTACATTATAGTATGGTTATTGTATGTTACTAGAGAGGAATTAAGTTTCTACCAAAAAAGTCTGTTCACTGTACAGAAATACAATCAAATTAAGCATGTAGTATTCTGTTATTTGTAAGAAAATATTGTGATTATTTTTAAATCAGGTTTAGATGAGGTGAGGTTATATATTTATGTACAAACGAAACAATTCAATTTATCCTTTCCTCTTTTAGTTGTGTGGGCCAGATTTTTGTTGTTTTTGCTGCTTGTACAATAATCCTAAATTTCATATGAGTAAGAATTTTTTAAGGAAATTTTTGTAAAAGTTTGACGTGTTATTTACCATGTATTCCATAATAAGAGATTTTATATTTAATGTATTCATAGTTGATATTATTACAGGTGTGTTGTAAGATTATATTATATATATATCAACAATGTAAGAGCTGTATCAATTTTCAAGAAAAAACATTCACATGATTGAAGATCCAGGTATGGCATGCTTTGGCTGTGAATGGTCCATGTCTCATTGCAGCTCTTAAAAAAACACACCTTACTTTTAAGTTGTTGGTGTACTGTAAGAGTGATGGTCAAATCTTACTATTTGGTCAGACAAGAATAGCCCATCAGGCTGTATCTTCAAGAAAGGAAGAACATTAATTACAATAATAAATAATTATTCATATAAAATAGACATTTTATAACTTTTTTCAGTGTTGTCTTAACTTTACAGTATTTGCCAGTATAGAACATAACCAAGCTATTGCATACTTTCTGAGTTTCAATTGAACTGTTACAGACAAGTGTAGGTTTTGCTTATCAGTTTTCCTATAAGTTAAGACTATAAATTGTATCTCTTATTTTTACAAAGGTCTTCACCCTATTTCTGGACACATTGAAGGAGTTGATTCATGCTCATCATGCAGAACTCCATGGATGGTTATATGTCCTAATGACCCGACTCCTTATGAAGTGTGGAACTGACGTCCTCAGTTCTGTACAAGCAAAAATACAAAGAACGCTAGACATTATCAGGTAGGTTAATAATATAACCCTAAAAAATATCCACAGATGGCTCTGAAATAGTGACATAACTCTTCATGAAGTGTGAGACAGATATTCTCAGCTCTATAAAAGTTTTAATAACATTAACAAGCTGATACAAAAACCATATTTTTTAGCATTTGTATGTTTGCAATATGCTAAATACTACACTTTTGTTGATGAAATATTTCAAATTTACAAGTTCATACATAAAGCCATATCATTCAACATTTGTATGTTTGCAGCATTTAGAGATTACTACAGTTTTATTGATGAAACATCACAGTTTTTTTCTTTTATATATATAAGCCAAGATCTAAGAATCTTCATTTATTACCAGGCCCTAATTTTCTGCTCTGCTGGTTAATAATGAGATTCTCAGATCTTGTCTTAGGTGTGTATTTTCCAATGAATTGCAATGGATAAGTCACTAAGAAAAAGACCAGACAGGTTTATACAAAGAACAAATATTTAATACCTTTTCACTTATTCAACTCTGTGTATGGGTTTCTAAATCTGCAGTATGCTGCTCTCCCAAGCCCTTGACACTGTCTTAAATATGTCAATAAACCCTCAAGTTTCTAACACAAGAAAACAATGATAGGTTCTTGTTACATCAGCTGGTGAATGGGAAGTGAAGTTATTTGTTTCAAATGGACTTCCTTTTACTCTTGCTACAGGAATCCTTTTGTGCACATGCCAAAAAAATTTACTGAGTTACATTCAAAATTTAGTTAAAGTATTTTATTATAATGGTATACAAATAAATATGGTATCACAACTCAACTTATAATTAGAATTTTAATATTGTATAAGTTTTAATTCTTAATTTTATAAGGCAGTATAGAAAAATAATCCTGAATTTCCCCTTACATGAGAATTCTGACATTTGCTCTCTAGTATTCCCTCTTTAATTTATTTATCACCCCTCCAAGCATAGCTTTTATAGCCTTCAATATTTTTAGTTACAGAGCCATAAACTAGACAATTGGGCTCCTCTTGCCACACCCGCCTGTCACATCCTATTTTTCAGAAATTACTGATAACTCACTCTGACATTTAATACTATATTATTGATAACCAATAGAAAGCCAAGGTTTCAATCTTTCAAATGATGTATTACATTACATTATTTTCTCTATAGAGAATTTTCTGTTTTGCTTCCAGTTTGTACTTTATTCCCATGGGAAAACCAATGTTGGCATAGCTGAATTTTCAGTGGCTCTTGTTGCATAGCTAGAAAGCATGAAAAATTTGATAGTTGTAGGACATTTTCTGCTTTTGGTTTGTTATTATTCTGTGTTCTTTGATGCATTATATAAATAAAATATAAAAAATTGTTTAGTGAAGAAGTACCATTAGTACAAAAAAAAAGTAGGGGGAGTTAAGTTTCACAAACAAGTACTATATTTGTTTTTGTATGTGTATTTTTTATTTACTATTATAAATGTAACTAAAATGTAAAAATCAAAAACGTTTTAGGTTAGATAAGGTAAAAAAGAGAATAATAAAAAAATTTTCAGGGGAATGCTAGTGAGCAATGTTCAAGTAGCCCGTGTATTACGTAATTCGATAGGGTAATGTGAGCTACACTTTCACCAAGGGATTTATAACTTGTATAGTGGGATTATTAGTTCAGTTTGGTTCAAGTGGAATAAAGTGAAGTATAAGCAGATGTAGCCTGTTATGAACCTTAATCTATGTAGGATAAACAATTGTAGTTTCCTGTTACAATCTGCAGTCATTCTAGAAATGAAGGGTAATATAAATTTATTTCATGTTTTTTTATGGTGGTTAGAAGGCTGGTCGAATTGACTGAGTCCGTATAGAATTAAGGATGAGACAGTAATAAATAAAATATAATGTTTAAGAGTAAAAAGTATTTGATATTTATTTAGAAGCTTTTAAAGGTTACATAAATGAAAATCTGAAAATTGTCAGGTGAAGAAAAGTATTTTTAACCTTATCATGAAAATCACTTTGCAGTTGGAGCAGTCAACACTCTGACTCCATATATTTGTGGTCAAATGTTTAGTAAAAACAATTTAAAAAGCCTTTTTTGTGTACAAAAGACTTCTAATGTTTACTGAAAACATTCAAAATTATGAAATGAAAACTTTGATGATTACTTTGTGGTTACAAAATCAGTCACATCAATCAACCCTGTATGGAAACAGTTAAAAACAAACGTTAATTTAATTTTTTTCGTGATACAGTTTTATATGGAGTTTTAATTATAGTTGTCTTCCATTATAGGGACTGCTTCCCATGTGAAAAGCAGTTTTATGTTATCGTAAAATTTCTTAATGATCCTCATCAGACACCTAATGACAAGGTAAGTTTTTGTTGTTTTTTTACTTTATGTAAAGCAAAAAGAAATAGATTTTTTCTGAGTAAATGTGAACTCTTAATAGCATTTCGTAAGAAAAAAAAGCATAATATCAAAAAGTGATTGGTTTCTTCTGTTGAGCATTAGCATATTTGCTAATAAGCAGAATGGTAAAATAATTACTATGATAGTTATTAGTATGGTAAACTGGATAACTTCCATAAAATTAGTAGAATAATATTTTTGTTGTAAGCTGTTTTAGACCTGAATTATAAAATTTGTAGTTTCAATGAAAACTTGTCCTTTGTTTACTTAAAAATGATTAAGTTGTTATCTTTAATTGAAAAATTGCTTTGCTGTATTACTTATCTTTTGAAAACTGTGGTTATGATGAAATTAGTGAAAATAAAAATAATTATTTATTTAACCCTTCTCCTGTTATATGTTTAAGTTAGGACTAGTTAAAATCAAATGTTTAAAGATAGTTTTTTAGAAATCCTAAAATTTTCTTTCCGTAGGTAAAGATTATTCTACTGCATTATTTGCATTCTGTTTTGAAGATTATGGACCCTAGTGATTTCAGTGGCTCTAGTAATGAAACTAAAATAGCTGTAATAAAACTAATTTCATGGAAAAGTGAAGTGAAAGTTCCGGAGATAAGAAAGGTAATTATTTACTCTCATACTTTGAAACATTCAGCAACGGTTGTAGTTCTTGAGAGATATTGTGTACACCTATATTCCTAATTCTTTTTAGTTATATTTTTAAAATCTTCATATTTTCTTTTTATGTGGTAATGGTTTTAGCTGAAATCTTGACTTAACTTATATACATTATCAATGTATATAAAAGCAAAATTTTGTTTGTCTCTCTGCTAACTTCTCACACTATTTGACCAAGCACCACCAAACTTGGCATGGTGTTTCATACGGTCTCCGGAAGTAACATGTAGGGGCAAAATTCCCACAGAAATGTTTGGTTAGTAATCAAAAACTAATTTTTTTATTTTAATTTAGTTGCTGCCTTCATGTCATTCTCCTTTTGGTAATACTCAACAATATACATCATCACTTAGCAACAAAACTATCACAATATTTTGTAGGCCTACAGTGTTTATTTTGAATGCATAATGTACATGTTAATTTGTGGTTTATTTTGATTTACTATGTTTTTAATAACTTCGATGATATAAAAGCAAATGGTTTAATTCAGAATCTTCTTAAGTTAGTGTTGGAAAGTTTCCATTAAATCAATCAAACGAATACATTTTTTATATAAATGTTCATAAAAGTAATTTTATTGTGTTCTTAAATACTTATTTCAAGTAATTCCACACCTGTGCAGGGAATGGGTAATTCAGCCAGTAATATATAGAAAAAGTGACTGTGTGTGTGTCTGTGTAGTGAAACTTGAAATTTCTTTCTGCCAAAAAATAGCAAGAGTTTTGAAATTTTGTGAAAACTTTTTATTTGTAATATACATTCATTTTCTTTTTCAGTATTCTCAAGATGTCATCCTGGACATGTTTAACTTAAATACTCCAGAATTTTCTATGTTATTAAACCAATTACCCAAGCCATATCAGGTACGAGGATTGTTTTTTGCTTTGAGATATTTACATTGAGATCCAATAATATCTTTTCTAGATAGTTTAGATAGAATTATTAAAAATTGTCTGTATGTATATATATATATCAAATATTCCAAAAGTTATGCTTTCATAAATTACTAATTTCTTAAGTACTTAGAATACTTTGTAAGTTCTAACAATGCCAGTTTAGTCATGTTTAACTAACAGTACAGGATTATGATAATTTTATTATTGAAATCAGTACTATATACCTCATGAATACTGAAAATGTGTTACATATTATAGTGATGTCAGTGTAAATGTGTATTTACTATTGAAATAACTACTGTGTTACAGGTTGTAGGGATGTCACTTAAAATTTTTTTAGCCAACAACAAAATGAAAAATTACTGAGTCTTATTTCTGAAGCATGTTCTTTCACTTTTTACACTACTGTTTTCAAAGTTTGATATAGTCAAGTAAAATGGAAATAAAGCAAAGGTTATTCTACATTATCAAAAACAATTCAATATGATTTTTTCACCATGTATGAATATTTTCTTTAAAACTTCACTAGCACCACCAATCAAAGCAACTATGCCTGTACTACACAATTGAATGTGTTTGAGATTTGTTTCTAATAATAAATTGAAATAAAAGATAATGATCTCAGCTTGTCTATTAGCTAAAGTACTCTATTACATCATTAGGTGGGAAGGGGGGTGAGCTAAGTTTGAGAATCCCTGATCTGATATACTGAAATCATAAAAACTGGTATAAAGTAAAATTGTGTTTCTAAAAATCCTGTGATTAATGCTTACCTTATGATCATTATCATGTCTTGCAGAGGGAGTGACGTACACTTGCAGTACCTTCCATTCATATGTGTTAATTGAATGATGTATACAAATCTGAAGAAGTTGCTGTTTTAAAGATGTAATCTGAAAATTATGCCAATATTATTGGTTTTGTATAAGTCTAAACTAGGTCCAAAAAGATTGTTTATGTAGAAAAAATATATTTTTCTTAGTTAAAAATTTAGTTTTCAGTAAGCAATGATTTATTGTACACAATTTTAAGAATTAGACTGTTTACAGTCTCAAAAATACACTGGAACACTAAATGAGTTACGGTACAGATAAAAGAATCTCTCTCTGCATTGTTACAGTGTATAAATCTTTCTGCCATTTTTACATAGTACCGGAAATATAACTAACTCCACTAAATGTCTTGTACACTAGCAGCATTTTTAGAAACATGCTGTATTTAACATAAATTCATGTGTAGGCATAACTTTGATCACCTTTTATTCATAATTGTTTCCCTGCAGGACAGCTGTAAATATTCAGATTTACAATGCTAAGATCAGGGGTTCAGATCTCCTCAGTGGACACAGCAGATAGCACGATGTGGCTTTGCTATAATAAAACACACACATACACACTTATTCATAACCAAGCATACTTAGGGGTGACTATTGTAAAACTTTACACATTATTCACATTTGTAGATGTTTTAGATATTGTTATGCCAAATTTTCTTGACTATCTAAATGGTATCAAATTGAGCCAAATGTGGCCTAGTGGTTAGCAAGTTAGAATGCAGATCAGAAGGTCCATAGGTTTGAGCTAATATAAACAGACTTTCAAGTGTGAGGTGGCATTGTAACTATGACAGTAAATCCTATTATTTGGCTAACAGTAGGCATGTAGACAGGTTGTTCTCCCTCTGATCATCAATTTTGAACTTGTGACAGCTATGCCTAAACCTTGGGGGGGATGCAGATAGCCCTCAAGTAGCTGAATAGTTTTGCATGAAATTTCAACAAATTAACACCAACTTCAGGGTCTCTAATCTGGCTGTTTAGTCTTTGTGTTTCATTTAGTGTCATTGAGACTGAAAATAACAAATACCATTAATAAATTTATTTATTGACTAGAACTCATCCTGACACTACAGGTAATGCACATTGTTTGGGCTTTATTTATTTTCTTAATCAAAAGTTTACTTTTTAGGTTTTAATTAAGAAATATACTTTTAATTTTGTGGCCATTAACTTTTCATGTCCTAATACTGATATTACTAATAAGTTATGCTACATTATTTTCTTCTCACAGCTCATAAGATACCAAGGATTTTCCAACTTCTTTTAAAATTAATCAATCAGATTTAGAATCTTTAAAAAATATCAGTAATTTTGTTAAATAAGTAAACACACATATATACTGATGGCAGTTTTCAACATTTTATATCTTTCATTTTCTTCATTATTTTGTTATTCAATATTTAGAAGTATGAAACATGTTTACAACCAGAAATAGGAAACGTAACGCACTACTGCTTATAAAGAGCTACTAATTTTACAGAGTTTTACATAATTTTGTAACCATGTTTTAGTTTCAATTTAGTGAGGAAATAATGTACTTTTTGCTCAGTTTTTAACATTCAACTTTCCACCTTCCCACCCAATAGATACAGTTTTAATATCTTATTCCTTTTACAGTTACAATATACTAGAGGTAATTTGCCTTTACTGTCAAACCAACTGAAATTCACCATATAGATCATGGGTCAGTTTTCATTTGTAGCTTGCTGTTGTTTGGAAAGGAATGTAGGGATAGAGTGAGTACTCATATTTATATTACTGCAGTCAGTTCTTTTGTTGGATGTTAACAGACACAGATACATGGACACGTACACAGATTATGTTGCTTGGGTCACACAAGCAACTGAATGGGTTTTCATATGTTTTGTAAGTAATGTCGTGCTCTTTATATAAAGTTCCTTGTGTAATATGCCAGTGTACTAGATTACCTATCCAGTGATCATTATTATTATTATGCATTCAAAGGAGACAAATCCTCAACTCAAACCAAATTAAACAAATTTCTGTACCATCCCTCAACTTGAGTACAACCTGCACCCTAGGGGAGCAGTGAAACAGAAACTAGGTCAAGTAAGTATGAGTCTTCACAGTAAATTCTGGATGTAACTTTGTTCTATGACAGATGATTAACACATGTTTACATCTTTGCAGATCTTGTTTACAAAAATGTCAACTAACTAAATGTAGAACACCTGCACAAAGGATTTAAACATATACCTTCATAAAGATAAATTTCACTCTTAAATAACAAGAAAAGAATATATCAGTTTTCAACTGTGAAACTAGTCATGTTGCATTCCAAAAAACATTTCAATTTAAACCTACTGTAACCTCTGTCTTCTATATCAACCTTGATCCACGTAACAAGAAACTGCTAAGAGTAAAATCAAAATAGGAGAAATGTTTTATTTTGACAAATAATCTCCATAAAATGGCAGTATTTTTCACAGTAAGTCATTTCTTATTATTCAGCTGATATTACAAAGATAAAGTACTTTCATCAAAGTAATATAATCTACTAGTACACAGTCATGTAGGAGCCAGCATAGAACATCAAAATAATCATGTGTGTTACATGTAGTGATTCAAAAGTCATAATAAAAGTGTGTACTAGTGTCCAGCATTGGAATTGATAATTCTACATAACCTATGCTTTATTTCCATTGTTGACCATATCAGATTTTAAAACTTTGGTGTGATGAAAACAGACTTCAGAAACAAGACTTAGTGGTTTTTCCTTCTTTTCATTTATTGCTCCTTTATATGTTTATTGAAAAGTTTCTTATTATTGTCTGTCACAAATATCTCATTAGCTTTTGGTAAAAGCTTGATAAGAATTCATGTTGCTGTGATAGAAACTTGTTCATGTAGAAATAGGTGAATTGTTTATTCTTTACTCTGTTTTCACTAAATTACAGTATATTTAATAAAGTATAATAGGAGAAACACTATGTATTCAGTAAAAAATAATAAATTTTATGCATCAAATTAACTTTGAGCTAGTAATGTAATGAATACATTAAAGAAAAACTTGGTTTACTGAGGTTTAGAAGAACATCAAGTATTGCAAGGACTATGACTTTTAAGTCATAGAGTTTTGCTTGTTTTTTTTATTTGAATTATACATGGCAGTTAATAACATTATATGTTATATTCACTCTGAAATTGTGTTTTTGTGTATTTAATTTCATCCTACAGTGCATTATTTTTCAACTTTATTAGATTTTTTTGTTGTTTTTTTTAAATTAATGGGGCAGCAATATTTAACCAGAGTTTTGTTTTCAGCTAGTTTAATTTTATATCAGATCATTTTCAATATTCTTGAGTGTGACTGAAGGCTAGGTTATAACAGTTCTTTAACTGAATCATGTTTTCAAAAAGTTGGTGTTGCAAAAAGATCACGTAACTAGTAATTTCTTCCACAGGATAGTGCTTTCAATTTACTTAGTTCCAGAAGAAGAAGCACAGATAGTACATCCTATGTAGGTATAAGCAAGACTCCTGGAAGCCCCATTATGTCTCATCTTCAGTCTCCAACTACGACTCTCTCCAGGTGAGAAGTCTATTTTGAGAACTTGTTAATTTTTACAACTACTTACTTGATTGGTGGTCACTGTTTCCTTTCACCACTTGCATTATGTTATTTTCTTTAACTGTTAAGTATGACTCTGTAATATGTTTTAGAACAATGACATTCAGTTACAAGCTTTTTCTATTCTTGATAAACAATACTTGATGGGCTTTGAAAAAATTGATTAATAATTGGTAATAATTGTTTTCAGAATGAATAGAATTCAAAGTGGAATGTCATTCAGTCAGTCGTTTGAATATGATGACACAGAAAATTTGAATCCCGAAGACATCTATAATTCATTAAAAAAGACATCAGCAGAAATTCAAAAGTATAGTCGCAGCACTCTGGAAAAAGATTTTTATGGAAAGGATAGTAGTCAGAAACAAAAAGATGATCAAACAAATGAATCTATGTCTTTAGACTCGGGCATTAGCCAGACATCTGCCCCAGATGGAAGGCTGGATGTGCTAGAGGAAAGGTCAAGAGAGGTTTCTAGTTCAGACTCTTCACCTACAAAGTGTTCTTCATCAGATTACAACCCTGTATACTACCATGATCAGGTACTTTATATTTTTTATTTACCTTTAGATTTGTACAGTATCACCCATAATGAAAGGAAATTGTGTAAGTCTTGAGGATCAGAATTCTTCCTACTTTTTCCAGGTTAGTTAGTTTTTGGAAATGCATTATTAATTTTAGGGCAGTCTTTAATTGTTATGTCTGGTATATATATATATTAGGAGATCTTGTTTCTGAGAAATTGTGTGCTTCATGTTAAGAAATTGTGAGGTTTGGTAATGTAAAAGGTGTAGTTTCATTTAAAGATAAGTCTTTTATATAAACCTCTTATTAGAAGTGTTTCTGAAGGATCTATGTCTGATACATTGTGATGATAAAATCCTTCTTAACTGAGGCCTGGCATGGCCTGGTAGTTAGGTGCTCGACTCGCAATCTGCAGGTCGTGGGTTCAAATCCCCATTATGCTGAACATGTTAGCCCTTTCTGCTGTGTGGGCATTATAATGAGACAGTCAATTCTCCTATTCATTGGTAAGAGAGTAGCCCAAGAGTTGGCGGTGGGTGATGTTGACTAGCTGCCTTCCCTCCAGTCTGTCACTGCTAAATTAGAGATAGCTAAAGCAGTATCTCTCGTGTGGCTTTGTTGAAAATTCAAAACAAACCAAACCTCCCCAACTTGTCAATCTTTACCAGTAAAAATGCATCAAAATTAAGAAAATTACTCTCAGCAAAAGCAGGAGAATGCATAGAATTTAACCCATAACTCAAGAGCTTTTGAGGCCCTAAAGCGAGCCCTGGATCCCACCCATAACGGGCATGCCTTTAACACACACAATCCCTTTGCTTTGCTCATCAAAATAAACCTTTTAATTTGCCTCTGATATGTATGTGGGTCATATATCTGCTGGAGAGTGATGCAAATAAAAGATCTAAATTCTCAACAAATATTATTCCTTTATCAGTAACGTTTCACCTTAAAAGTTGCCTGAGACAAGTGAAAATAACTAGTTTCTTCCTTAAGATTTGCTTGTTTGTTATTAACAGATAATTATTTTTACACAAAGTACTGGTGAAGAAAAATTGTAAAATAAACCTAGAATTCTGTGTTTGTTGTAAACTTCCCATGATCTTTTGTAGCATTATTTTCAAAGATTAAAACTGTGAGAAATTCCATGTTGAAGGGAGGGGATATAGTGTTGTTTAGGGGAAAATCAGCATTTAATGTTTTTAACCATTGTAATATTATAAACCTGAAAAAGAACTGTTTTTTTTAAACAATATGGTAAAATATGATATTAGATAACCAGTCAGTTGCTCATTTTATGTTTCACAATCAGTTTTATGAAACAAGAGTACAGTGTACTGGAGATCACATGCTAAGTGGCTACTAACGTGGAGTATTGTTCTTATATCAGCAGTTTAATTTAATTCAAGGTCTGAATTCAAGCCTTATTCAATATTCAGGCATGAGAACAGCACTAGCTATTATAAACTTTTCTTTATCTGACAATATATTCATATGCATATATTTTTGTTTTATTAATTTTAATTTTTTGTTATGTATAGGACATGAAAGATGGCTTAGATGTGGATGTTCTAGAAGAAACAGTTTTTGATGTAGATAGTGAGGTAGAAGATGGTATGTGTAATTAGTTAAAGTAGTTGCTCAAAGATTATTAACAGTAAAATATATAAAAAAATTGTTTCTAAAGTTTTTCTGATTAAATTTATTATATTTTAACCATCCAATTGTTATTTTTATGAAATTTCCTTTTAGGCAAACCTTACTTTTGAAAATTACTGTATATGTAATCAGATTTTGTTATGCATACTTTTTACTGTTTGGATGCTGAGCTATTATTCTCAGAATGCAACACTTCAGCTTTATTAGAAAGTTTTTATGTCTGATAAGCCCTGTGGTAGTTCTGGATTTCAGAGCTTGCAAGCCACTTTTCAAACCATGTAATGTGAAAAAATATACCCTGCACTTTAAAACTGAGGGTGTGTTACAAGAGTGAGAGTCAATCCTATAACATGGATGGTAGGGTGCGGCTGAGTGGCTGCTCAGTAGTTCAAAATTAAAAATGGTGGTGGGTAGCATTAATAGTTTTTCCATGAATACAAAAGAATAATTATTTTGCATTTACTGAAAAATAATTTTTATACTTTTTTGTTTTGGTATGTGTTTCTCCTAACTTTCCTCTTTACATAAAAACAAAGAAGTGGCATTCATAACTTGTTGTTTATTATAGAAGTAAAAATACATTTGTTACAAGTCATTCTTTTTTCAAGTAATTGCTAATGATTTTTGAAAATCATTTATCCTTTTTTTTAAATGTTTTTCATCATGTTTTTTCTTTTCTTTTTTGCAGCTGATTCTCCATTTATTAATGTTCTAACAGAATTGAATAACCATAACACCAGGTAAGCCGAAGTCAAAAATATTTTTTATATTTATCTTATTTAAAGAATTATTCAACTTCTATTTTTATGAAGTTAGCATGATTGCACTTTTTCACTTTCACTTTGATTTTTAATCAGTGGTCTATAACTTATGAGATGATCTTTAATATCATGAGCTGCATATACCTTTACCGGTTTATTTGATATATTATGAAATAAATAACTTGCAATATGATTTTAACAAACTTGATTTTAACAGATTTGAAACCTGTAATGAACTGATCATAAAAGAAATGTGTAGTCTAGTATGATTTTATCTTGAACATGGTCATAGAATGTAGGCTAAATTATTTTTTTTAATTTTTATTATGGTTTTGCCCCTTTTTTCCATCAATTTGAATAAATATTTGCTAGATAAAGGAAAATGATAGTGTAGACTTTTGTTATAAGTATTTTCATATTCATTGCTTGTTAGTAACCTAATCAGTTAAATTCTGTTCAGCGTGTCTCCCAGTGATAGGTTTCAAGACTTATAATGCTGGAATTCAGGTTTAATCCTCTTAGTGTACAACATACAAGCAGCCCATTGTGCAGCTTTATGTTAAATAAAATTTTCAGTGTTAAAATATGCTCTAACTTTATGTACAAAAAAAGCAGAATTTATTATAAAACAAAAAACTTGATTAATACTAATGTTTTATGTTAATCTCCAACTAAGTAATTTAATAAAAATAGCAGCAATAAGGCTAAGATATTTCTCCCTCTGGCTATTTAATGTGAAATCTGTCACAAAATGTCATTAATTAACTATTAGACTTGGAATATACAATAAATTGAAGTACATAACTACTTAATTCAATTCCAATTATTTAAATGTGGCTTTTGAAGAATATTTTCCTGGGTATACTTCTAGTCTTTTTTTATTACTATGTAAACAACTGGAAGGAGGTCACTATGAGGCATAGAGCATGTAAGAAAAAAACTTGGTTGTAAATTCAGTTATTTTTGTAGAGTAAATTTATAAAATAATTAAAATTAAGATACTTAATAATTCAGAACTAAAATATACTCATTTTACTTTAAATGTAAACTTAAAAAATCATGAAATATTCCATTATCTTTATTTCATGGTAAATAACATCCTACTAAATTTGGATTGATCTTTTCACAGCTTACAAACACAAGTTCTAGTTAAAGCTGTTTTCTTGCAAATATTAAGTTTATGTTTATATATTCATCATTGTGGCTAATAGGAAAATTTGTGATGAAATTAATACATTGGAGATTGTATCATTATTACTGTATGCAACCATAGGCTACATTATCATCATTGCCACACCAGACAAACTAGTAGAGACAAACAATAATAAAATATTTGTGTGTGTGTGTGAATCTCCTGTTGTATATTACAACAATATCCATCCTAAAATGGCATCAAACAAGATTTGCACAAAAATTCGAGAAACAAGCAATTTCCTCGTGATATGTCATGACTGAAAGATAAAAAAAATTAGAGCTTTCATAACATTTATGTCTATAGTAGTAGTGAATACATCCATTCTGAGGGACCAACAGATACATACAATATCTCTGCCTACTCCAAATGAGTCTCTAGAGTCTCCTAGCATTAAGTAGTGTTGTGTGCTTTCCTTAATCTTGCATTGTGTTTGGATTTTACCATCTAACATTCAGACAATTTTCTTGAAGGAGTACATGGCTTATCTGCTAAAATAATTTTTATATTGTTTCTTTTGGCTGAGACATTGTTGCATCATTTTTTTTTTAACATTACTGTCAATATTGTAAATATTAATGCTAATATTAAGTTTTTCCTTTAATTTAGGTCTTTAAAATGCTTGTCTTGTGGTTTTCTGACAGAATAAATTTGCATGGTTTGAGCATCAATACAGCACTAGTAAATGGGATTTTTCATTCAAACTAGTATTATAAACATTTTTAAAGGGAAGTTTTAAACTTGAAATATTTATAAAGTTCTCTTTTCTTATTAGGCAAGAGCAGCGGAAACAGGCCCTTTATAATCTAGTCGAATTAGCAAAAGACAGCAGTCTTCCAGGGTGGGAAACAAACTTCCGAAACGTTCTTCGTCTTGTAATAGAAATGATTGGAGATCAAGAGGTACTGTCACAAATAACTTATATGCTTTGTTTCCTAGATTAAAAGGCATTGTTTTGTAATATGTCCATGGTTTTAATTGTTATATTACTGTAACTAGCATTAGCAAAAAAATTAGTATTTAAAAATGGTATATATAAAACAACAGCTAAAATGAGATGGGGTGAAGAACAAAGGAAAGCATGTTGTTCAAAAGAACTACATATAAGGAAATAAATCAGTATAAACTCACGTGAAAATCACATGGTCTTCAATAACTTGAAATTAGTGGGGCACCAAGATGTTGATTAACTCTTCCAACACAGGGTCAGTCACTTTGACCTTCTGTACTCGTTTAAAGTTCACATAAATTTAATACTTATAACTCTATATATATTGGGTATATCTTCACGAAATTTGGCAGTCTTTCAGTTAATATTATAAGTCTTTCAATCAGCTTAAAAAATTACCATTGTCATTCACACTAAACCTACCCATACTAATTTATATGATTAGTGGAATTCAGCTCAGTACGCTGCTCTAAAACTAGCTATTAGAAATAATCTAATTAACGCTAGACTTATTTGTACTGACACAAAATTTTTAAGAAGTGCAATTCAGCAAACATTTTTTTCACACAAGTTAATGGATATCCTGAACATTTGGTAAATAAAAACCATTTCAAATTTTTAAAATATACATTCATCTCACTATAGAGGTATCCTTAATGTAAGACCATTTTTGCTATATTCCTTTAAGTCTGTCAATTTCAACTTCTATTGAGAAAACTTGGGATAAGATTGGCAACAAATTTGATACTATAACTATTTATATTCATTTTAAAATCAAGTCAAAAATATCTTAAGGGAACAGCACTTGGATGTGGTTTATACAGTTTTATAAATGGTTTGTAAGTTAGGGTTGAAGCAAACTGAACTACTCTTTATAGATTTTTTTTAATACTAAAGTTATATGTAGGGAACCAAGAGGAACTTGCTGATAATTGAGAGAAGTCTTATTTCATTCACAGTTGAAGCTTCCTGTCAAATCTCTATATGGGCTCAATAATATTGACCCATCTTGTAACCACCATAAAACTATATATATATTATAACTCTGGATGTACCAAGTGTGTCTTCAAGAAATTTGATAAGCATTTAGCAAATGGTACAAGTCTGTTGTATACAAAAATCAGATTTTTTTAGTATTTATTTATTTATTTGGTATTATACTAAAGATATGTCTGTGAATATAAAAAACCTTTACTGAGTTAGTTTGACTGAAAGGTGATTTTCTTGCTAAAGATAAAAATACTTCTTTTCATCATACAGTTTTCATATCAAATTTGCGTAATCTCTAAAACTTCCTAAATGAATATCAAATTTGTTTTGGTAAAACTCTATATTTTGTCTCTTGTTTTTTCTACCCTAACATTAAATGTAGTGAAATTATAAAAACAATTGTCAGGTTTTTATGTTGTATACATGCGGACCGGATTCTTTACAGTAGGTGTCTGTGACTTGTTGGCGATAAATTTCAACAAGAAACAGACAGCATACAGTCATTTTAAAATAATATATTAATATAAGTCAAACATATATACAAATATTCGTTATGCAGTTAATCACCACAGTTGTATCCAGAGCTTTAAATAATTGTCTCTTTTCTTCAAAGTCCATACAGACTGGTTCAGTTACTTTAGAACACAGTTGACAAGATGAATTATTCTTCTATGCTCTGTTATTACAATACAATCTGTAATACTTTCACTTTAAAAATAAAACGTTACTATATTCTCTTTATGGCTAAACTCATAAACACACAGTCTAGATTTAACTATTTATCTAACTGTCTTATTTTATAACTAACTCGAACTACATTTTGTACATGTATTTATTGAATGACAAAGGCCTATAACATTCCACACAGTACAAGATATTATGATGCAATAATACTCAATTAAAACAACGAAAAACTTAGAGGTTTCTAGTAACATGATGCAATAATACAACAAGCACCAATTCACAACAAATCTTCAATAAACTAAAAAATTACTAAATTTAATACTCATGCTATGCATTAAGTTGAACAGTTGTGTATATCTAACAATTTACTTTGTTATTCTTACTTAATAATTTTTACATTTTAGTTACTTTTAGTATAAAATATATAACAATAATTTTACAAAAATATACATGAAAAACAATAAAGTTTGGATTTATGTTAAGAGTTAAAGCGTATTTCACTATTTTCTACTTCAGCACTAGTTTTTTTATGCTATGTTGGTACTCTACAAAATTCATTGATCTTCACTTGAAATATGCATTTTAGAACACAAAAAAAATATACCAGGCACTAGAATAGAATGTTGTCAAAGTACTATAATATAACTGGCTTTCTAACTAAACTATAAGTAGGTTTAAGAAACTCTGTTACTCCTTGTAAATTTGGTCATAAACAATGAAACTAAGGCTAAATGTCTACATAAAGGAATAACTATATAAGGAATTTTGCAAAAAAACTGCTCTTTCTGTTGATTACAAATAACCCAGTAGCAATGTCAAAGAGAATTATAATGACATTTTTTGAAAGGAAGAGTGCGAGGGGTGTATCATGTGAGCTTAACATTATTTTTATATCTCGGTAAAGAAAGAAGATTGGAGGTTCTAATTTTGTACTTTGGCTTGTTTAGTATGTGTTTCTAATTAGTTGGGGCTCTTAGAAATCATATGAGGGCAGAAAGAAAATAAAAAAATGTGTAATTCAGAGCACAGAGACATCAGGTGCCACAGAGGTGTGAAAATTGAAAATTTATTCAAATATTTCCTTTTAAAAGTAGGAAATTAAAACTTAAATAATATAAACATTTGGTATGTTTTGATGCCAAACTTATTGACATTGATAATAAAGTAGTTAAATTAAATTTTGAATGTAACTCTGTAAAACAAGTTATCTTCTTGAAATGTCTGAACAAGCTCTTCAATGTGTGTGTGTGTATTATTTTTACTAAAAAAACAGTAATAACACGGAGTGACCTAGCTTGCAATACCATTATAACAAAATAAAGTATTAGTATAATCAAATCCTTTTATAATCACTTATTTAACACCCAGTATGTGAAATGTAGAGATCTTTTTTGGTAAGGTGATTCCCAAATAAAACTTTAATTTTATATGGAGATTTCAACTCCTTGTGATATATAAAATGTGAATTGCCCACAAGTGTGGCCCATTTCATATTAGTTTCCATACTATGAGGTTGTAAAACCTGTACACCTATATAAAATCCCACACAAAACATGATTGTGGCAGCACAGTTTGAACAATATAATATTTGGTGCTTCAGCACTTTAAAGCCATTTTATCCATGGTTTTTGCAAGTTCTCTCAATAGAGTTGACCGAGGAAGTGCAATGAAACTTATTTACTGCCATAAGCTAGCTAAGTATGGTATCTTCCTGAACTTGAACACTTCTACGACTCAGCGGTTCTTAGAATTTTGTGCAAGAGGAATACAATCTTGCCAAATCTTGTGGCCAAACGCTATTGAGAGTTGAGCTCTTTTGACATTAAAGTGTGGTATTTTGAGGTTAATGGATCATGTCCTTTATTAGGGTACTCTTTTTTTTTTAAACTTGAATACTGGAAAATGTGACTCCCTCTGTAGCCCACCTAATTCCCCAAATTCAGTCTCATTGGCTCACAGACTGGGTGTGAATGGTCTTTACACAACAGAAAAGTGAATTTTTCTGATATAGTATTTATTGAATTTTTTAACATTTACTATCTTCCTTGAAATGTTGTTCAAATAATAATGTTTTCATTACTATAATTGAGTAATTAAGAGAAATTATTCAAGTTCCTCATTTTGTTGAAATATGACTATAAGGTTAGCAATGTGAAGCTCTAGGAGTGGTACATCAATTTTAAAAATTGATGTTTAACTGTTTTCTTTAATACTTACTTTTAAATTAAGAAATTGATTAATATATAGTACTAAAACTTGAATTATAATCTATAATTCAATACCAAAACTACTGATATAAATTCATAAAATAGTAGTTCAATAAAATTTTGAATGCAAGTCAACAAAGATGACATGGCCTTTGACACGTGACCCATCACAATAGGGTTAATTTGGATATCAATCTCAATATACCTTCACACCCATAAGCAAGACTCTTTTATTTCTTGCACTATGGTGTTACTTTAGTTTTCAAATAGCAAAATAGCAGGTGTGTCATGTGATATGTTGAATACAGCACTGGTTCAAATTAGATGTTTGTGATGTCAAAATACAAAGTCTATAGTTTCATACGAATTAGGAACTCAAACTACTGATATTGACAAACTAGAATATAAAAATAAGAACCTGTTATCATTTCTCATTGCTAAGATATTGCTCATGTACTGAATCAAACACAGTGGCCCCCAAACTACCTCTTTCCATTTTTGGAAACAGTCCCTTATATATACATTTACTTCTATATGTGACATGAATAACCAAGTGGTTTTCTCAGCCATTTAAACAATTTTTTTAAATTTAAACTGAAAAGGTAAGTCTTTAGTGAGCTCGAAACTTCATACTTTTTTTTAGACCCAAGTACAACTTAGTTACCACGCTTGATAAATTATAGTGGAATTCTAAAGTATCGATATATGATTTTTTTTGGTTATCTAAAATGTATATAAGAATCCTAAAAAGAATTTTCTTTTCACATCCTAAACGTCAAAAATTTTTGAAGAGATAATTGTTTGCTTTACTTCTTTATTTACTGTTCTATGCTTTAAGAAAAATAAGTTTAAGAATTTATTTGGAAATAGTATTAATGTACATTCATATATAATAATTGAAATGTGACTGTATTTTACAAAATACTAGTCCATTAAAACAGCCAGATAGGTCACTTTGTAAAGGCCAGTTTTATATTATTATATACGGTATCATGAAAGCACGTGCACCACATCATTGTAACTTCTGTATTGTTAGCCAGGCATGGCTGAAAGGTCAATAAAATAAAAATAATAAATATATATATAAATGTATAATGTTAGGAGATTTAAGGTATTTAGACTGAACATTTGTGTTTTCATTTTACAATCAGTAGTCATTCTAGAATAAAAAAGCATAATTTAGATTTATTTCCTAATTTTTACGGTGGTTATGAGGCCAGTCAAGTTGACAGACCTCATAGAGTTAGGGTAGAGAATATAACAGATAAGATATATTGTTTTACTAAAAACAAACATTTGAAATCTACTTAGGAGGTTTTTGAGATGAAGAAAAATATTTTAGTCTTAACATGAAAATCACTTTGCACACGGACTATTCAAAACAAATACTCCATATATTCACAGACAACTCTTTTTTAGTTTTTTTAAAATACTCCACTAAAAGATATGACTTTTTGTATGTTAAAGACTTATAATGTTTACTAAAACACTATCAAATTTTGTGAAGATATACATACTATATTAAAAGTTAGTAGTATAAAATCTATAAAGACTTTAAACAAGTAGAAAAAAGTTATGCAGTCAGTCAAATTGACTGAGCCTGTGGCGAGAGAGTTAAAGCATTTCTTCATATCTGTTTCGATGTATCTTAAGTCCTAACCTATACTTATCTGTAATTCGTGTTTACCTTGTCAACATATAAATTAAAAACGTTTTTCTGCCAAAGAATTTCAATCACAAACTGTTTTTTGTTTATTTTTCTAGAGTCCTATTAGGGTTTTAGCTTTAAGAACCATGTGTGAACTGCTGCAAAGGCAGGCTCATAACTTTCAGGGATACATGGAGCTCACCATTCTAAAAATCTTGGAAGCCAATAAAGATGAAGATAAAGAGGTGATTGCTCTCTTTGAATTTTTTAAGCTAAACTGTTTTGTTTTTGTTGTTAGTTTTTTCATGTGAAAAGCAGTTAAGTGTCTTAACATTTTTTGAGTGACTGCTTTTGTTTTTCACTGAATATTGATAATTTATTGGTTAAGATATTATTTATATCAGTTAATAGAAAGATTTTGTAATGCTGTATGTTTTGTTTTTAGGTATCTTTATCAATTTGAATAAATTTATTCAGTGTCGGTTTATACAGAACAGTTACTGTGGGTAGGAATTAATAAACAATAAGAAAATCAGGAATTACTTGTAAAGATGGTGTTATTGCTTGATAGCACCAACGATGCATAAACCATACATACTTAAGGAACTGACAATTAAAAAACACTTTTAATTAGAAAACTTACAAAATCTAAAGTTGTGTAAGTAATATAAGAAAGATAACCAAGGTCTACGTACACAGTATAGAATTCAAAACCACAATCATTTTTTAAGCTTTGGCTTGGCTTTAGAACCAAAGTCCTAACAATAGAAAAAAAATTTCATCTATGAGCTGGGTTTCTAACACTGAAATACACTTTATAAAGTCAATTAATTAACTATCTAAACATAGTTTATGACAAAAAAAGAATTAATATCTTAAACAGGACTAGGTGTGTAACCTTGCCAAAATACAGAAGAATAAAGAAGGGATTTGTTGATCTCTTAAACAACCAGTTTCTTATTAAAACCCCTTCAACAGAGCTATGATGAAGCTAGTAACATCACTGAGAAAAGATAGACAATGTTTCTCTTCAAATCCCAAGAAACCATTAAGTTCTTCTTAGTGTGAAACTTTAAATTCATAGCTAATTCACACCTGATGAGTAAGTATGCACTCCCCATCTGATTACAATTAACATGGAAGTAGTGCAGTCCCCATCTGATTACAATTAACATGGAAGTAGTGCAGTCCCCATCTGATTACAATTAACATGGAAGTAGTGCAGTTCCCATCTGATTACAATTAACATGGAAGTAGTGCAGTCCCCATCTGATTACAATTAAC